CTAATATGAGAATTAAGGATTGGAAGCTTTCATTTTTACTTTTTATATTTATTTAGGCTTACAATCCCTAACTGTTGGACTGAAATACTTTCGAATATTGTGCAATGACATATGACAAATTGTTTCTATGACAGGGAAAAAATGGTTGCTGCTCTTATTGCTTTGGGGGCATCAGCTGTGGCATTGACTGATCCCAGTACACATGATCCAACTGGTAGAAATGCTGCATACATTGCTGAGGCAAGTGGGCACAAGGGACTCGCTGGTTATTTGTCAGAATTGGCGCTAACTAGCCATCTTTCATCCCTCAACCTGGAAGAAAGTGAACTCTCCAAAGGCTCTGCTAATGTTGAGGCTGAATTAACTATTAATAACCTTTCAGAGGAGAACATTAACTCAACTGATCAGGATCAACTTTCGCTAAAACACACCTTGGCAGCAGTTAGGAATGCAGCTCAGGCTGCTGCACGCATCCAAGCAGCTTTTCGTGCCCATTCCTTCAAAAAGAGGCAACATAGGCCTAGCTCGGAAGTTGCTTCTGATCTAGATGAGTATGGTTTCACTATAAATGACATTCAGGGCCTTTCCAAATTGGTATTTCACAATTTGCATGACCATCAAAAGGCCGCGTTATCTATTCAGAAGAACTATAGGGGTTGGAAAGGCCGGAAAGACTTTCTGACTTTGCGCCAAAAAGTTGTGAAGATACAGGTACACATCTGCTTTCACTTCATGACATGAGATTTCAGCTCTTCCTTTCTACGCTGTCATCTATATGGAGAACCTACTGTATAATTCTGTAGAAATAGTAATTTGTTATACTGATAATACAGTCTTTCCTTAACTGTCCCCTCACCATTTCTCCACATCGTCATTCTTGCTCTCATTCTTTTTCATACCCTTCTCTTTCACACTATCCTACAATATCTTTTACCTTCTTGAGAGAGAAGTCTATATATTCAATATTGTTATGGTTTTTTCAATATGTGATAACCATGTCACGTCCAATATGTTTATACTTTTCTTTTGATTTGGGTTGGGGTCAGAGGGATGGGACTATGGGAGGAACTTTTTTTTTTTTTGGGTAGGGAGAAGGACCAAACTGAACCGACACCTCTCACAGGCAACACTTGAGCAATTGAAAATAGGGGGGGAGGGGGGAGGGTAAGGGAAACCCCTTTTTCAAATACAAGTAGATGGTGAGGCTCAACTTATGATCTTAAAGTCACAAGATGAGTTCTCCACCATTTTCATCAAGCTTGGTGGTTAGAGCTAGAACTACATTTACAATTAATTCTAATGTATATGCCTTGAGAATATTATATCCTGTTATTTTCTGCTATTGGCAGGCACATGTGAGAGGTTATCAGGTTCGAAAAAAGTACAAGGTTATTTGTTGGGCAGTTGGTATTCTAGACAAGGTTATACTGCGATGGCGCCGCAAAGGAGTTGGTTTGCGAGGATTTAGACCTGAGTCAGATTGTGTTGATGAAGACGAAGATGATGACGACATTATTAAGGTCTTCCGGAAAGAAAAGGTCAATGTTGCTATTGATGAGGCTGTCACAAGAGTGCTATCCATGGTCGAATCTCCAGAAGCCCGCCAACAATATCTTCGCATGCTTGGAAGATCTCAAGAAGCCATGGTAATAATAATGCTGAATATCATATTGATGTCCAATGTATTCTCACATATATAAGCTGTGAAAATTAATTGCTGTCATTATGGCCTCATTTTCCGAGAGAGTTTTATTTTATCCATTGCTTCCTCAGCCCAGTAGCCTACCATCAAAATGAAGGCATTTCTTATACTTTTGCCTAGGTTCTTGCGGATGATTTTATTGTATGTGATTGCTCCTGTACTTCCAAATCTCAAAATAGGCTATTGATCCTTTTTGTAGTACTATGGGGGAACCAATGCTAGGCTGGAAAAACTAGTAAAATATCCAATTAGAGAATGAACATATGATAAGTTTAGTGAGACATAACATAGATTAGAAAGCAGGTGAAATTTGAAACGTGGAGGGGGTGGGGGAGGGGAAAGAAGTCTCAGCTCAGTTCAAAACTTAAAACTTGAGTTTGTTGGATCTGAATTTTGCAGTTCAAATTTGATCATGTACTCGGGTTCCAGCCACCAGGTTGAGGTTGAGCAGTTTAGGTGTGGATGTGTAGTTTGAGCTTGAGCTCATTTGGATTACATTAATTTATACTTGGTATTATTCAATTTGAAGTTTTTTTTTTTTTTTTTCAAATTTTTTTTTTAAACGTATTATTCAATTTGAGGTTTTTTTTTTTTTTTTTGTTTTTTTTTTAAAAAAAAGTTATTTTGAATGTTATATATGGGCAGGTTCTACTGAAAACAAGCCTTATGGCTTATGGTGAAAACTAAAAACATATCTCAACTGTTTGATTAGCTTGATATATGGCTTATATTACCCCTCCACTAAAACTACTACTGGAGAACCATTCATGGTTCACAATTTTCCTCACTCTAAAATTTCCCAATTAACATGCACGATCCTCTGACATCTTTTGAGCAACTATGTCCTAAGGTGTAACCTCATTGTCTGACTAGCTGTTTGTCTGCACACCAAGCTTCTCTCATGCAAACACTTTTGGTGCTCAAGCAGATGTTAACTGAGCTTAAAACTTTCACTTTTCGGTTTCTTGCACAGAAACTGTTCAGAATTATGGATACAGCAATATTTATTGTAGTTTACCATACTGTTATTTTCCTATTATTCAGTAATTGCAGTTTTCTATATTTTACGAGGACTCTGTATCTGAAAAGAACTTCCGAAGGTCCACTGGTCTAACTTGTATATGGCTCTGAATGTCTATTCATTTTATTGCAGGCTGAGGTCCAACTCCTAACAAGCTCAGGGGCTTCAGGTTCCCAAGATTGTGTTTCCAGCATGGACAATGATGATATCCTCACCTTCCTTGAAAGTTCTGGTTGATTCACCTTTGTAGGTACAAGATTGGTCTAACTCAAGCTACTAGATTGGTTTGGATTCAGTATTAGTTTACTTTGGTCTCGTCAAGGTATATATATTGAATAGATAGCCGTTGTATTGTGCGCTGTTCCTAGTCATCTAGATTATATGTACTAGATTTTACAGCTACCCATTGTTAGTATATGGTTATTACTGCTCAGGATATTCATAAGTTGATGTAAATGTTTGTAAATAATTTGGTTTTCGGGTCTAATAATATTTAAGCAGGTGCATCCTCATTCACCTGACATTGGCTAGCGAACTGAGTTTGCATATGACAGTTTGAAAAAGAGTGCTGTAACATGTGCTCCAGAGCTTTCTGTTCATCTCTATACCTTGTCGAATTTGATCATATTGAATGTCTTACCATGGCACTTGCATGATATTATACGAAGTTTGTTTTACTACATTACTAGCTTTTTTTTGAGGCACGACATTACTAGCTTGTACAATCGAATGCCACTTCAAATTATTTGTTTGCCTTTTCCTTTTTTTTTTAAAAAAAGTTGTTTGCTAGACTAGATAAAATAAAGGTGCACTTCCGTCTCAAAAATGGGTTGAAGTGCAACTCAATTCCAGAAACCACGACACATGGTCCTCAGGCCAACCTTCCTCGTGTGGCTTCATCTCCCTAGCAGTCTATGGGGTATGGAAGGATCCTAATACGAAAAAGCCTGGTGAATGGGGAGTTGCTATTTCATGTACAGCAGAAATGCAGGGTGGCCTTCATCTTGAGGGGCGGAGCCGAATTATTGCCAAAACCGTGATGCAGGCATAGAGTTCTGATAAATTGGATGGACGAGTTGGCCAATGAAAGAGAATGCAATATGATCCTCAAGACAGGCTGCTTGGAGATGCAACGAGAGCAATATCGGTCTGGAAACACACCCAATGGCAGGCGAACCAAGTTCAAGACATCAGAAAGTTATCTAAGCAAATACGGAGTAGATTTCTATGTACTTCCTTCGTTTTCTTTTACTTGACCTGTATTCCTCTTTAGGAAGTTAAATGGATAAGTCCACACTCTTTCAGTCAGGGCAAGGAAGGGGAATATCCTTTAAACTTTTAATTATTCGAATTCGAATGTCGACAAAAACAGTTTAAAAAAACAAACACAAGCATGCAACAAAAACATCATCCATTCACTGATGAAAATGATGCTACGATTACGATTAGTAAAAAGCTTTTTAAAAACTATATTTTGAATTAAAAACTTTAGAGAATTCAACTTTTATATCTGTGCTTTATCCAACAAACAAGAAACTTTAGAAATCTGAAGAAAAGAAAAGGGTGGCCATAAAAGCCTTTTTTATAACTTGCCAATAAATTCTTTTTTTTTTTTTTTTTTTTTTTTTTTTTTTTTACAAACTTACCATTAAATTCCATGTTAGATAGATTCTAACTAAGTTAGATGGTTAAAGATTTAAAAGTACTCCTTATGGAAAATGATATCCAACTTATGTAGTACAAAGTACTCCCTCCGTCCCTTAATTTTTGCCCCATTACAAAAATATGTTTGATCATGAACTCTCGTTAATCAATAAGTTATAATATATTTATGTGGAATCTTGTTAGAATGTTAGTTTATTAATATCAAATTTTCATAATTTTTAAATGGATATATATATATATATATTTGAAGACGCGTCTTGAACACCGTAAAAAGGAAGCAAAAAAATAAGGGATAGAGGGAGTATATATCATTTATCCTTTGTGACTTTTTTTAAAAAAAATCTTTGTATATTGTTACATTATTTATTTATTTTTTTGAAGAAATATATTGTTACATTTGTAGATTTATATCATTTATTTATTTTTTCATAACAAAATCTCTCTTCGTCTTATAAATAAACAACCGTATATAAGTATTTACACATTAGATACATTGTTTAAGTTATTAATAATTAAAATATGTATGACAGAATTACAATTAAATTAAATAATGGTTGATCCCCAATCTTATCTTTTTGTATGCAATTAAAGTTTTTTTTATCCAAATGACAACCAGTTGCGACTTGCGAGTGTTGCGAGTACATACGTATCAAATTAATAATACTCCGTAATAATAATCTAATCTAAATAGAGCTACATAATACCAAAAATGGCAGTGTCTTGTTCTCTTGTCTAATTGAGTAACTGGGTAAGAAGGAAGTAGTCAAATTACATCCGAAATGTATGAAATCTGTTAATTTCTAGTCACAAAATACTTAGAAATCCTCCCAATTAATTAAAAATTCCTCAAAATTCTCAAATACATAAAAATTCCCCATTACATAATAAATCAATCCTTACTAAAAATGGAAAGTTCAGCAATTACCCGCAAAAATATTGATCAAATTCAGAAAACTATTCACCAATTAATTGAATCCAAACAATCATCAGCTACAGAAACTTCCATGGGAAATGACAGTGATGGCGAACGCCAGCTCCTCGTAAAACTGCTTTCTCAGGTACCAACAATTCGGATTATTGTTGATAATTACTTCGTATATAATTTGCTATTTTTATGTTATATATATGGAGTATAATTTATATGAATCATAGGTTTTCTGATGTGTATGTGAATATGTGCATGTAATTTTTTATAATTCTGGGTTGATTAAGTGCAGTTAGATTAGAATTATGTGTGAAATGAATGGTAAGGAGTATGTAAAATCGTTTTCACTCGTTTGAGGATCCAATAGTGACATATTTACTCCCTCAGTCTTGAATGAATAGTCATATACTCACGGAACACGTATTAAAAAAAGTTGTTACATTTCCTAAAACAGATTCTTTTATTGTGCTTATATTTTCGAATATACCATTTCAACGAATGGAGTGGTGGAGAGAGGATGGAACAAGTACTTCGTAATTTGTTTTGTGATACTGTGATAAATAACCTAAGTGTAGGGTGACTGAGACTAGACTGTTAAGTTTGGAGGTTGCCAGTTAATCTCTGTGATAAACAAATTGTCCCTACAAAAATTACACTTTCCCATAATAAACAAGTTAACACAGAGATAAACTTGTATTTTCTCTTAAGTTTGGACAGGAGTATTATTTAATCAAATTATTGAAAGCGTTAAAACAAGGTGTTAATTTGTTTTTTACCTAGCAATACTTTTCATTTTTGTTCTTATGCTTCTATGTTTTGGTTAATTGGTGTTAGTTGAGGATGATTGAGTCAGCAGCGGCCGATTGGCTGCTACACAGTAGTGAAATTCTTTACAAATCTAGGATCGTAATGTGGTTTGGATGATGTGTGACCGGAAAGCTACGACTATTTATTTGTACTAGAAAGTGCCTGAGCTAAAATGCTCTGAATTCATCAGTTGTACAGCTGAAGATAGGTTTTATGTGGTAGTCTGACTATTGAACTGTGCATATAATTAACTGTTTTTGCACAATCTGTCTGCTGTAAGCCTTTAAGTGCGCTTAGCAAGCTGAGATATCTAAATGATGGCTCAGAATTGATTGAAATTCAGATCATATAACCTATATATTGCCCTATTTTGTGTGTTAATGTACCACATTCCTTATGATGCATCCATTTCATCCATTGTTTTTGTAAGTTGGTGATGTAGCAGGATGACAAATATTTGGGATAGCCGATGAGACACAATGACACATAATGAAATAAAAAACTGATTTGCTCAAGACTTGAAGTAGGTGGGACATGAAATAGAATTATAGTGTATATCTAGTAGACATATGGTATAATTGGTTTGTGTATGAATTGTTTAACTTCTGGCCATTTAATACGAACTTATATAATAGTCTGAGGTCCAGGGAGTGAACATAGTTGCAGTCTGTCCAATATAGATTTTCGAGGCTTCTTTCTGGAAAACCATAAGTCAATGCTTCTTGTCTGTCATAAACCTAGTGATAGATGATAGTCTTACTATGTATGCTCAATAAGCTGTTAAGCTTGCAGAATCTGGATGATCCATTAATGGTAGGAGATAGATAGGCTACCTAAATGTAAGAAATGTGTGCTGCTACTATAATTGTGAAGAATTTCAAGTTTATCTCTGGGATCAACAGAACTGTCCAATTCCATGTTTTTGGTGGTGCAGTGAATGTGTGCTAGTATTTCTAAAATCTTGTGGTCGTACATGCTTATATAATGGTACTTTTAGATGGCTGTGGTCCTGTGGTGGTACATTATTGTGATGGTTATTCAAATAATGCTAGTAGTACTTATTTAAGAGGCTTCTGGTAATTGTAATCTGCAAATTTTGCTGATTCTCGAGAACATATCAGTCTACATTCTTGTATTTGGAAGATTTTGCATACTACCTATAATGATAACTTCTGTCTAAAAAATTCAGAGGCAATTTTAATTATTTGTTTTATTATGAACAGTTGGAAACCATGAAAGAAGATGAAATTACCAACCAAAATGAACTATCAGTTGAGCCAAAGGAGGTACCTACAGGTAGAGCCAGTGAAGAAGAAACAAAGAGCTGTGATGAAAGTGAGGCTTCTAAGAAAAACACAGCGGTTGAAGCAGAAGATGTAGTTAAAGAACTGAAAAAATTAAATAAACAGAACAGAACTACACATTGGTTACTTTCAGCTCTTATTGTTCTCACTGTCGCTTGGCAAGTCTCTGAGGTCTCCCTGTTACTAAAGCTGAAGTCTGGCTTTAGTAATCCATTTAAATCTCTCGGAAAAATGTTTGTTGGAATGGTTAAACGCCGTGCATTTCATGAGGAAGAAGCAGATGAAAGTTCGGTGCTAGCTAAGGTAAATGGGAGAGAGACGCCTGAGAACCCTCTTAAACTTCCCAGCATGGATATTGCAGGATTGATAAATGGGGACGGGGGATGACAGTTTTGCATTTCCTTTTTTTAACTTTCTCGCATTGGTTAAGTGTAAAGTTTTTCACTATGAATTGAGTTATGAAAACTTCAAACTTAGTTTGTTCAAAAGAAACTATTGTATGCTTTTTAAATTTTGATAATCAAGAGTTCAATTCATTATGTAAAAGAGTTCTTTAGGGAGTGCCCGTTTTGAGCATTTTTTGAGGTTTGGGGGTTGTTTTGACGTGGGAATAACTGAATAAGGCGATTGAGGGAAGGACGGATTGTTTGTGCACATTAAATATGTTACTTACATAATATGTTTATGTTCACATAAAGTAGAATATTTTTTTAACATGTAAATATATTATCCCTATTTATGTATTTTATAAGATAAAAAGGGAAAAACAAAGAAAGTGTGATGATTTCCATATCAATAGTGATTATTCTTGTTAACAACCATAAGATAAGATTAGGTTATATTCCATTATGAGGTTATGGATACTTTTTCATCTTGAGTTTTTTTTTTTTTTTTTTTTTTGGTGTTTAGAGAGCCACAAGGGCGGTGATGAGAATCGATCCCAGGATCTCCTGAAATCGGGATGGAGTTTTAACCACTTGAGCTATCTCTCATTCTCCTTCAATCTTGAAATAGAAAGACTTCTCTTCCATTTATTTATTTCGCACAAGTCTAACCTAGTACTTTCACTATATTGTTTACTAGAATATTAAAAAAAAAAATGTTGTCACATACGTAGTAAAATATTATTGTACTAATCCTTATGTATATATTTATAATATTCACCGTTTATGTTTCATACTAATGTATAATTACAAATATTTATGGTCAAAGTTGTTGATTGACACATATGTTAGCCAAACTATTGTAATTATTATAAAGAAGAAAGGATTAGTATAATATAACCACGTTATGTATTGTTGCTATGGTAAGTTATGAATTTGGGAATCAACAGCACAAATTAAGAGGAAGTATTGCATACACATTAGTAGTTTTCCGAGATGCCAAGTTTGATCATTGGAAATTTGAAACCATCTCTAGCAACTCAATCTCACTATTAGTGATAGTAACATATTTCTAAAATAGCCACATGTCTAAACCACGCTTATTCTCAAGACTTTATACACCTATTGGTAGGCATGTTATTGTTCCAAACCAAGTTATATAACCCTAGCCCCTATGAGACACCCCATACATTCACTTTAATTTCGAAAAAAATACCAACATTAGCCCAAAAGCATGATTTATCTCAGTTTTGGACAATTTTCGATTTTTTCAAATCCGCGAAAGAAAAAGGTCACAATGCTTCCCACAAACCCAACAACACAAACATCGACTTTGTCTTTATAGCACACCACCCTTAATTTACTTAACGCCATCACAGACCTTTATGTGACCGACTATTGGATGTATATGATTTCAAATAACATCATATAACCTTAGAATGCATCCTCTAATATCTTGAAATTTTTTGACATCAAGTCGCGAAACCTCTGAAATGATCCAAATGGCTGGATTATAGCCTTTAGTTTTAGATAATACTTTCCAAACCTAGAAGGCAAGCCAAACACTACCCTCAATTGTCAAATTAAGTGTTTTTTTTTTTTAAGGATAAAGTGTTTTCATGTCTTGTCCTAGTGCACATGCCTCGTTTTGTGCTTCTATTTGTTAGCATCATCGAGTTCCGCCAAATTAAGCAAACCCTGAGGAGAATTGTTCAAAATAACATGTTCCTCTCCATTAAAGGGGGTTCAACCGCAAAATGGGCCATTGTATACCCCTCTATGAACAACTCGTATAACACACTTTCTATCATTAGATCCATGAGGTTCTATGGATCTGGATCTCAATCTCTTGCTTTATTAGCTCTCTCTCTCTCTCTCTCTCTCTCTCTCTCTCTCTCTCTCTCTCTCTCTCTGCATGCGCGAGACACACCACTTTCTTCCACAGATTCTATTTAAATATGCAGCACTATGAACAACATTGCTCATCCTGCTACAACCGTATCCACAAAACAATACCAGAATACCTACAGCCCCTCTTGGCTCCTGCCAAAGCACAAGTATGGGCACAAGCACACGAATGTGTTATCAGAGAGATAGACAAACAGAGACAGAAGGAAAACAATTTAAAAAATAGCTCTGGTATATGTAATTTTGAAGAATGGGGGTGTTTGTTCAGCGTAACATCCAAAGACTGCCCATACAAATGCCAGAATCCAAATTTTTAAAGACAAATGTAACAAGCAAATTCAGACAATGATTAAACATGACCAGCCAAAAATAATTCCAGTTTCCAAAGAGTTATGGAACTACAACATAGTAATCACCAATCTTGGACAATCAAAGACCACACATTTCTTCGACCCTAGTTGACAAACTGAGCCTTATCACTGTATCTAAGCATAGTTCAACCGGAATATGTCATTCTGCACATAAAAGCTTCCCTGTGGTGTTGGCATCAAATGGAACATCTAGCAGAAAAAACCATGAACGATAGTGAGAAAAAACAGGGCTTCAGCAACCTCAAGTGAAGGTTATATAATCTCTTATATCACCCAAATAACAACAATTCAAAAGCATTGCGGAGTACTGAGGGAAAAAATCAGAAGCCAAAGGAAAAAGAGTCAACGGACAAGATTCTCTCAATGAAGAGCAACCATGTGTGCAGAGATTTTAGAAGGAAAAGAAGGTGAAAAAAGATTTAATTAGCCATCTAAAATTTAACACATTTTACTATTTTACTTAACGTAGAACTCAGATATAATCATCAAGAAGCTAGTAAACCATGGAAATAATGGGGATTCATGGTATTACCGTGTTACTGATTGATGGAATTTCATTTTTCAGATATAAATTCCAAGCTAAAGGTAGCTTTACAATAGCAAGTGAGAACAACACCATTTCATTTACAGTCAATGAATTTTCTCATATATTATGGAACATCTTAGAGCATTTTCAAAATAAATACCCTAAATGATAATAATTCTAACAATTGGTGACATAAAAAAGGTGCAGTAGTACAAAAGGAAGCCACTGCTCGATAAGATTCTCTAATCAACAATAGAAGAGGACGGGGTAGTTTTAAAGGATCAGAACCGGGCAACCCCTTTTAGTCAAGCCCAGTTGAAATGCCAGTCAGGAAAGCTTTTTAACTGTAAACAGGATAAAACTTATGTAGAATACTGCAAATAACTGATCAAATCTTTACAGTTGTACATATAGAAAAAAACCATCATAAGGAGTTCAAGTCATTTGTGCAGATAGACAACGAAATTAAATCATTCGTCCTGTAAATCTAATTACGTCAATTGTAACATTCACAAATCACAACCATTAATGTTTCAATATGAAGGTTCAAATAACCTTACACCTTCAAAATGCAGGGGACAGTCCCAAATACAACATTACATTAAAACTCTATTCAAGCCAAATGAGGAGGAGAATATTAAAGAAGTTAATTAGCGGTAACAATAACCAAAACAACAGAGTATTTGATTCAAAATGTTCAATTCTAACTAACGCCTCGGCCCTCTCCTTCCTCTTTCAGGTACACACAATCATCAATCGATTCCAGGTACTCGACAATCGATTCCAAGTACCAATAGCACATTACTAACCCTAAGAATGCTTTAACAACCTCCAAATAAGTCTCCAACAGCTAAAAACCCTAACTTCAATAGTATAGTCAATTCATCATCCAATTACCGCAACGATAACAACAAAACCTCAGAAAATCAGCATTAAACACACAGATCAAACATAACAAAGCATAAACCGTCACCAAATGAGTATATATAAGCAAATTAAAACCAAAAAATTCACGAAAACATGCAGAAAACCCTAATTAATCGATTAATCACAATCAAACAAACAAAAAAAGCGTATCATAAACAAAATAAAAAAAAAATGTAAAAAATTGAATTACCTGACTGAATTTGAGAGCGTGTTGTTCGCCGGAGAGTTGGAGGTTACCAGAGACGAAAACAAGCATGCCGCCGGTGCCGGAAGGCTGACAATCAACGGTAGAGATGGTGTGTTGACACTGCTGAAAAGGAAGGCTGTTGAGCTTAGCAGTAATGGCTTGAGTACCTTGAATCTTCTGGCCTTCGAAGGTCAACATCGAAGAATCCTGGTACAAATTCGCTAATCCTGGACGATTAGCGTCGAATGTGGAGTAGTAGTGCTCAACGAATGCCTTTGCTACAGAATCTGGATCCATTTTTGTGCCCTAATTTTTGTTCTGGAGTAGTAGAGTTGTTGTTTTCTCTCTCCTCTTCTCTCAGGAAAAATGAAGATCACGAAGGGTGTGATTTGGGAGTGAAGGTGGTTTTATACTTTATTTGGTGTGGGTAGCCTCAGATTTACGCCACTGGGGAAAAGGGGCAAATCAGGTGCGGATGGGGGTGAAATAAACAACGCGTTTTTTTCAAAGGTATGTTCGATAGAATTAGATTTTAGTCTATAAGCTTTTAAAAAGGATTAAGGGTTGTTCGGTTGGGGTATTCATCAAAGGGAAAAGGAATCACCTGCCCTAATTCCTTTTATTGTTGTTTGTTAGGCATTTTTTTCCATTTCCTTTACTCTCTTCATTCCCCCCAAATCCTTTCAAGTTGATTACCCCCCAAGGTATTTCTAATCCCATTCCCTAGGCACCACCATACCACCACCCTCCTACCTACCTACACCATCGGAAAACCCAACTGCTTACTGCAGTTTCACTCTCCGCCTCTCCCCTGCCCCTCCCCCCACAAAACCCTCAAAACCCTCGAAGGTGGTGGAGGGGCGGACGACGGTTTTACGGGGAGGGGGAAGGGGTTTCTAAGGTTTTACGAGGCTGGGGAAGGGGAGAGTTTTGCTGGGGGGAGGGGAGGGACGGGGGAGAGGCAGCGAAGCGAGGCAAGTGGTGGGGGAGGTGTGGCAAATAGTGGGATGGCTGGGTGGTGGCCGGAAAAGGTGGGAAGCAAAGGATATAGGATGTTGTATGGTGGTGGGACTGGTGGTCTGTTTCTCTTTGTTTTTTAAAACAAACATAGTAAATTTTAGGTATTTTCACTTCATTCTCTTTCTTTCCCTTTGTTCATTTCATTCCGTTTACCCCGTGTAAACCAAACGGTCCCTAAGGGTATATGGGTTGAATATTGTAATATACCGTAATAACTTATCTGGTAATATTATAGAGGTATCCATTTGACTTATTGGGTCAAGGTTGGTCAAGTCTAGTTAGAGTTTAAATCATAATAAACTATTGTATGATTTGTACCATGCAAGTCAAATTATGGATCAATTTACTTTCAATCTTTGTCATGTTTAATTTGATTTGATCGGATTAGTTTTCTTACACCTCTATTTATTATTATGTTGATCAGATACTAACCAGAAATGATGTATCATTTAGTCTAATACTAACCTGATTCATCCTTGACTCAATATAAATTAACATACACCTAAAGCTCAAATTTAATCAGCCCAAATTGAAATCATCACATGATACTACACTCACAAGGTTGAATAGGTTGCTCATACATTAATATAGTTCAATACAAGTATTAACGTGTAGGATTATGTTATATTCAATTCAATGAGTCGCAAAATATTAATGTACTCTGTATCATATTAATACTGATAAACAACTAGTTTTGATGGTTAGAGCATTAAAATTTGATTAAAAAGACCTAAATTTTTTTAAAAAAAAATACTGTAAAAAAGAAAGAGAAAAAAAAAGCTAGGGAGAAATTTTTTCTTGTGATCTTACTGATCTATAGAAGGTCCAACAACTACATAACTTGCATATTTTTTGCAAGGAGTTCATTGCTGGGCTTAGGCCCGACTATTCTACAATCCCATGAATTTATTTTGGGAAATTCTACAGATTGCCCTCCAATTTTTGCCTTTTCTATTTGGTGGATATTTTTTTGACCATATTTTTTTTCCATTGACATAACCATAGGTTCTTTTATTGATGAACTCAGAGAAATGGAAAAAAAAAAATATGTAGCCTTAGATTTCAAATTTCAACAGACCTCAACATATACCACAGTAATTTCTATAGCTGCACATATGTTCATCAATTCATGCATGACTGATGACTCATTTTACATTCAAGACGTTTTTGTCGACATCTTCATCCTTTAACCCTTCAGAATTCATATATTTGATTATGTAAATTTTAACAGCAAAGAGCTGAGAATCAAACCTCTAGTTCATGCACATAGTTGATACCTTATGAAGAAGAAAGTCACCAGAGTATACTCACATTATAAAACTGAAAGTCGATTATATACAACTCACAAACTATACTCAGCATACATGTTCAATAATTTACATTCAAATGGTGATTATAATACTGTAATCCCTCTCCCATCACAATTAGTGAGTGAAGGAAATGTGATGATATATGACAGGATATGTATGTCTTATTTTTCAAGTAATCTATACATGGCGCATTCTTTACACGCTGTGTTGATGTGCAAACGCTAATCTATGATACAAACAAATACTGTCCAAATGAGGATTATGGCACCAAACTCGAGTCACGCAAATCCTTTCAAAGCCCATCGTGAGGAGCTATGAACTCTGAAAAAAGGCTCAAGAAAGGCTCTTCACATACATGGGGTTTTTATTCTACACATCTGTCTCCTGTCGGAAAGAATCTTACAAATGTGTCAGGAATTTGGCTTCTAAGAGCAACCAAACATCACCGATCAAGTATGGTGTGTATCCCATCTCTCATTTTGAAATCAATCATTTTCTGCAATTTATGCAACAGAAGAAAATATAAGTGAATGCAATAAACACTAATACTAATAAATGGAATATACATACCATCTGAAGACTGTCACAACCCTGCAGAATGGATATAATTCAAAAATTGCTACTTTAAATGTATCTGAATTTTAAGAAATCAAAAACTAAAAACTGAAAACCACTAAATACAATTTGATGTTAGTTTTCTAACATACTCGTCCCATTCCCAAATAAGTGACTAATAAGGTTATGCACAGAGATTACGAAGTTGTTAATAACATT